TTCCATTGGCAAAGTGTCTCAATTACCACCTCAGTTCAAGAAAAAATGCACTTATTTTAGGAAAAAATTACTTATTTATATTTACATTTTTTGCAGTACAAGCATCTGGTTTGATCCCCACAGACTCCGCTCTGGCTCTCTCAGCCCCACACTGCTCCCCGGGCAATGGACAGTGGCAGCCCGCTGCTCTCCAAAGCAGATGGGTTAAATGCAGGGAGTTAATTTGTCCATTGTGAGATTAAAAAATGAAATGTCTATCCTTTCTATTTCTACACTGCAAAAAATATAAACCTCAATAAGTTATTTTTTCTTAAAATAAGTGTGTTTTTCCTTGATTTGAGGAGGTAAAACAGACACTTTGCCAATGGAACAAGACAATTTCCTTTTAAAATAAGAAAAAACTATTTTATCGTCTTATTTCAAGTAAATATTATCTAACTATCTTATTTTAAGAGTGAAAATACTCATTCCATTGGCAAATCATCTTATTTACCTGCTCAAATTAAGACTAAATATACTTAATTTAACTAATTTTTTACTTATTTCTGGATTGTTTTTGCAGTGTAGTATTCTATCCCCTTTACTCTAAAGTAAAATCCATTGTAGCCACTTGTCTTCAGAAATCACCCAACAGGTCTGAAAATATTCCTTGTTTGTTCACAATCATGAAGGAGTAAAGCTGATTATTATTCCGATTCTTCTGGAAATTCAGCTGTTTAAAAAAAAAAAAAAACAAAAAAAAAACACAAAGATTCATTAGGGTATACAAACACATCAAATCTGAATAAAATCGAAACTCACTCCAAAACCCACTTTTGTTGTAGATGAACTATAAATTATGCCAATGGTGTGCTATTTTAATGCTATTGGGCATTTGTGTGCACTGTAACAAAGGACAACAGATGGCAAACAAGAAATGCTAAGAACTCAAATAAAATTAAAAATAACTAGAATAACAGAAAATGGAAATAAAATTTCACTTGTCACTCCAGGCAGCTAAAATGTTCATGTACAGTATGGTTCTGTCGCACATCACCTACTGACTTACAACCTGGTCACAGACAAATAAAACCTCACTAAAACCTTTAGAATCTCTTTACAAACAGACAATAAAAATGTTGGATAAAAAAACATCAAAATATCACCATTGTGCCATTTTACTAAAACATAAGCTTCTGAGCTGGGAAAACTTCATCAAGTATTCAAAGCTCTGTCTGTTTTACAAAATAATGCATGGTCTGTGATCTCCTCCACTCAGTTAGTTTGTAAAAATCAGGAAAACACCAACAGTAACACGTGGGTCAGCTAGAGGAGACTGTGTTGTTCCTCTGCGTAAAAATGCTTTAAGTCAAAGAGCCTTTGCAGTTACAGCATCTCAGGAATAGAATTCTGTCCCTCAGATGATCAGAGAACTCACAACATACACTAATTTCAAAAAGCATCTAAAAGATTGGCTCATAATACATCAGTCATGTCAGCATTAGTTGAATGTCTATCATTAACAAGCGATGCTGCCACTTGTGTCTGTGTTGTGTGTGTGTATGTATGTATGTGTATGTATATGTATGTATATGTATTTATATGTACATAGTTTAAATGTTTTATTCTACTTTATGAACCTCTGTAGTCCAGCGAACACTTATTCTGTATTTTTAAATCAGTTTTCAGGAGTTATAGCTTTTTTACTTCTTTTTATATTTGTATGTTTCATTGTAGCATGCTCACTGTTGTGTTTTTTTTAGGTAGACAATTTTAAGATCTGTCCAGGGACAACAGATGAAAAATAGCCTTTTGGCTAATTCTGGTGCATTTGCAGGAATGCTTTTTAATGTACACTGTCCCTGTCAAATAAATAAATTAAAATAAATTAAAAAAATAAAATAAGTAATTAATAAAAATTAACTAGATAACATCATCATGTGATTTGATATTTAGTTATGATCCAAGAGTAGGGAGATAAGATTATAGACCACTTTTCTTTAGGTTGAAGCACTGATTGCTCTGAATTTACAGTCTTCAGTGAGCAGGTAGGTCGATGGTCAGTCTCAGAGGGATCATCAAGCAGCAAATCTTGCCTTCAATAAGAGAGGAGACCAACTTCCCTCTATTTCCCTATTTAAAAGAAGTCATACACGGGTGAAGCTTCAACGTATCCCGCCTTTGATTACAAACCAGGATGTACATTTCTTTTTTTCCCAAAACTGTACTTAAATAGATCCCTTCATGCATTCAGTAGCGCCTCCAGAAATGTTTCATAGGGGTGGCCTGATGGGGCCACTAAAAATCAGGGTTTGAACCTATTCTTGCGGTAAACCTGCCTGTAAAAATCATAAAGACTTAGGTAAACATCTACTCATATCTTGGTTTATTGTTTGATTTTTAATGTTAGGTCGCTGGCTGTGCAATATGGGATGAAATACAAAACTGATGCTACTATGATTTACACTGTCAAGTGGGGTGGCCAGTGGGGTATGGCCCCCCCGGCCATCCCCTGGCAGTCCCACTGCATGCATTTGGTTCACACACAACCTCGGTCACTTGTTCAGCTCATCCATTTGTATGTATCTGTTGTTAGGGTGCAAAAAAAAGCATTACAATTATTTTAAACAATTTATTTTTAGATTAGAACATATTGGGAATGTTTATAATCCCTTTCTGTCTTGGTAGAATTTATAATTATATTAATTCTTATCTCCCAAATCTTGCCTTAGAGCATAACTAAATATGTGCATCACCTGATGATGTCATCTAGCGACTTTTAGCCATTTTTATGACTGCTAATAATTTCTTGCTGAAGAGCTGCCAGCTTTGCATTCCTCCCCAGACTTAACCCTGCTTCACAGGGTCTTTAGGTAACAGAATCTTTGGTGATGTTTTTTTTAATAAAATGTCGGATGGGGTTAAGTTTTTACACACGGTGAGAAACACTTTCAAGAGCATTCATCTGCTTTATTAGATTTTGTAAAGTGGTGGTTTGACGGGACCCAAATGCAGAAAAAAAAGCTTGAGTTGGTCCCTTGAAGGCTTAATAACAAAAAGGGTAACAGAAGCAAAAATACTGAAGACCATACTCACAACAAGGGGGCAAAGAAATGATAAAAAACAGCAAGAAGTGACTGAACAGGAGAAGAATAAATGGTAGAGAGAAACAAAGACCAGGCTAATTAGTAGAATGGGAGCAAATGTGAATTGAGGCAAGAAGGGAGCTAGGAGACATAGGAGGGGAAATAAGAAGTATCTAAGAACTCAAACACAATTTAAAATAACTAAAATAACACAAAAATAGAAATAAGACCAATGAAAACTGAGCAGAACCAAAACCATGACAGATTTAACGACAACAAAATCATATTCCAAATAATTACATTACTGAAACTGTAATGTTTTTATACACCTGACGTAGGACACATTTAAAAGCTAAATGGATTTCAAAGTATTTAACATATGATGGTCTCATTTTATTAATCTAGAAATAAAGAGAACTTTTAAAATAATCCAATCTAATTACATTTCATAGACTCAATGCTGTAAAACTGAAATTAAGATTTGTTTTTAACTCAATAGAATATATAGTAGTTAGAAAATTATTATTATTTTTTCTGAATCTATAAAAATGATTTCTCTGCATTTTGGTCTTTTCTCTAGTCAAAAGAATGTAGAGGAAATCCTTCGTTACAAGAAAATCTAAATTTTCTTTACATTTAAAAGTTGAGTAGTTGATCAATGCTATGTGCTGTTGAAAGGTCAGCCTCTGATTGGCTGACCAAACCTGCATGATGGCTCCTAACCCCAGAAACCATTAGCTCATTAGGCGCCTGAGAGTGAGAAAACAAAGCACAGAACCAAAAGAACTATGTCAACCCTTAACCAGTCCTGATCCACTTTTTGAGAATTCATTGCAAAAAAAAAGATTTCCCTCATCTCCAAATTCTTTGCTTTATTTATTTGATTTTTGGTAAAGTTCTTGATAGGAAAATTAGAAACCATTCCATCCAAAGACCTAAACCAGAACCACGAACCTTAGACCTTTTATGCTCCAACTCTTCTTCCCATACTGCATTAAAGGCTGTATTAAATAAACTGATATATAGCGATCCTACTGAGAAAGCGACAGTTAATAACAGTTACACCTTTGATCAGATCAGATATTCTGATATTTCTAAAACTTTGCTCATACAGTAATGTCTAGAATTAACATTGACATTGACAGCTGGAGATAGGCACCAGCCCTCGCGACCCCAATTGGGATAAGCGTGTCAGATAATGGATGGATGGATCATGAGCTGATTGTTGATAAACAAAATCATTGGTAACAATAATTCGATTAATGATCCTAATCCAAAAGATATACAGTATTAGTTTGCTTCTTCGTTAGAGGCTGTAAAACACTGGGTTTAGCTTAATCTGACAGACCTTGAAACAAGAGGTGCAATATAAAGGTTTATTTCAAAGCATATCTTGATGATTTTATTGGACCAGTCAAAATCCAGACAAAAATGGTTCCAACCTCTACCTGGATTGTAAAAACTTGTAGCTCTAATCTAAATAATAGGTTGTTCTACATATTATGTTTTCCCTTCCGACTGTACATTATGCTCATATTAGTGTTGGTCTATAGGTGAAACCTTTAAATTCCTTCATCTAGTGATTTAGAAACAACAGTGAAACTCAGAGCTTGAATTAAGTCATTTAATGTCTCAACATCAGCGCTATCTAGCATGGTAATGGTGAAAACGCATAAACACAAGAGACAAATGAAATAACCCATGACTGAAAAATAGGCAGTGATGATTACAATGCAAAAGATAAACATACTGATAAATGATTAAAAAGCATAAATAGCATTGTGTGCCATCAGTACTACTTTTATTGAACGAGCCCCTGAGTTTGAAAAGAAAAAAAAGTATAAACGAGTGAAACATGAACAGTAAAAAGTTGGCATTCTTCTAGACTTTAAGGAGGATGAAGAGACAGAGCCTGTTGAGTGATACCAGACAAGATTGCATTTTCAAGTTTTAATATTTACAAAACAGCAACATAAAAATATTTTTATTAGCAACATCCATGTCGGCTGAAGACATATCAGCAATGGTGATAGTATTAATACTGATAATACTGACTCAGAACAATTTACAACCTTTTTTTTTTTTACTTTAACAATTTCACATTTTTTTAAAGAAACATAGTAATGTTAACATCTAATACAAAGAGATAATGAAACAAAACAAAAAAAAACGCCGAACACACAAAAAAGTGGAGTCAAATCTTTACAAGTTGAAGCGAAGCGAGGCACCAGACGCTCTGTGCAAAAGGGACAGGCTGTCCCTTCCCTTTCTCTGGCGCGTTCTTCTCTCCAATCAAACAGTCCACCAGAGCAGCGGATTCAAGAACTGCTTATCTCAGGCAGCTGAAATGGAGGGCTGGGTTAGGTAGGGGGCACCACAATGGGACCATTGTTGCCCACCTTACCTGGTAGTGATCCTATTTAAACCAGAAAAGTTGGAGCCACTGTTGCTGACAGTTCTGCTCAAATGCTGAAGGTTTGCATCGCAGCCTCTGAAGGGACAAACTCTTTCCAAAGGACTGATTCCAAATATCTATACTCCCAACTTTATGAGTCCTATTGGACCCTGTTTGTCAACACGGCTCCTTTACTCACCAATTCCAGTCCCAGTTCTTAGATTTTAAATCAGGCAGATAAATGATCAGTTTGAAGAGGTAAAGCTTACAATAGGCAGGAAAAAAGAACAGCTTTAGTATTTTTTTCCAATAAAGGCCAACAAAGAGGTGCTGATTCCAGCTCTGTTGTGCCAGATTTTATGAACACCCAGTGAATTCATTATTTTAACATGTTTATTCTGATAGAGATTAGATCAAAGCGGTTCTATCTGGTCTAACTAATTATATGTACACAAGTGATGTGTTCCTTACAAGTGACCTTGCCCTGAAGGCCAACTTCTATGTTACTTAGGAACCCCTACAGTCAAAACACTCAAGCATTCACAGATCGTTCAACTTCCACGTGTTTTTTTTATTATTATTTTTTTATTTATTTTTAGCTGTTTTTTTTTTTTTTTTTTTTTTTTTTTTTTCAGTTGAAGTCACTAATGTCTCTGTGTCTCCAGCTCTCTTTCTTCTAAAACATCAACAATAATATGGGGTTATTCACACTATTTTTTTTTTTGACTCCCCATTTGTTTTTTAACCCCCCTCCTCTTGTTTTTTTTTTTTGTTTTTTTTTTTTTTTTTTGTTTTTTTTTTTTTCATTTACAAGACCTGGAACTTCCAGGAGTTCTGGTCTTTGTAGTCCAGACAGTCAGCAGCGTTGAAATTGAGCTTCCAGGCCGCTTGGTCTTTGTAGTCTAGACAGTCGACGGCTCCGAAGCCCAGAGAGGCGGCCGTGTAGCCCTGCGAGGAGAGCGAGGCGGGGGACTGGCTGAGGGGCCCTCCCATGGAGGAGGCCGTGATGGGGCTAAGGGCCCCTCCGGTGCCAGACAGCTGCGGGTGCATCGGGGACAGGTAGGAGCTGCAGTCCAGCCCGGTGAAGTAGGACGAGGAGCCCGCGTAGCTCTGGCTGTAGGCCGGGGCCTGAGTGTAGGTCATCGGGTAGGTGGAGGTGCGCTGCATGCAGGGCGTGGTGGAGGCTGACAGGGGATCCGGCAGCGGGGAGATGGAGGCCGGGCTCCAGATGGAGACGGTGGCACTGGCGGAGCTGGAGCTGGGGGTGATGGCTGTGCCTGGGGGCGGGGGAGGGGGGCTGTAGGGTCCATTGGTAGGGTTGGCACTGGCCTCTGAGGGCGCCTCTCGGCTCGGGGAAGCCTTCTTCTTAGGAGGCCGTGGTTTGGACTGGCCTGTGCTCTGCTGCTGCTGCTGGCGGCATTTGGCACGGCGGTTTTTGAACCAAACCTGCAAAACGAATTAAAGTGATCAAATATTAATATTCCGCCATCTAAAAACGAAAAGAGATTAAAAAGGAGACACAGAACTTGTAAAGGAGCTGTTCAGTGCTGTTACCTGAACTCTAGACTCAGGCAGGTTGATCTTCAGAGCCACCTCCTCCCTCATGAAGATGTCTGGGTATCGAGTTTTGGCAAACAGAGCCTCCAGGATGTCCAGCTGCGCGCGCGTAAATGTGGTGCGTTCCCGACGCTGCTTACGTGGCGTACCTTAAAAAAGATCATAATTATTATTATTGATAATAATATTGGTTATTTACTAAAAAAAGAAAATGTGCTCAGAAGGCCTGTATCTGTAAAGGCTATTTATTTGTACCATTCAGTTTTTTATTAACAAAGACTTGTAATATTTTATTGTATTATTAAATCTAACATTTATATTTTTATATAATTTTATATGTATTTTTTTTATTTGTGTCTCCATCAAAAATATAAATAATGTGGTTGTTTTAAAAGGCTTGTTTTTGCATTCTTTTTTTTCTGATCTGTGTTTAATTCTTGTTTTCAAATTTTAAAGAATTAGAATAGAAGATTTTTCTGTTTCGTTTTTTAAAAGATATGTATAGACCACACTTTTATTTTGACTTTCTTTATTATTTTTATCGAATTTTTTATTCTCTACCTGACTCTTTCTGGGGGGGAAAACATGTTCAGTAAATATTTCATTTTGTCATATTGTAACTTTTATATTTCAGATAAGATGCAATATAAGTAAAAACTTAAATGAAAACTCTTTATGTATTTTTTTTTACTTATTTTTTTAAATATCCATGTTCTACATTCCCTTTTCCTCCTGTTTTAGTAAAGAAGCCTCTACAGTTGCAGCCAGATATGCTTATGTTTTATTTCAAACCTTGTGCGGGAATGACAGATGCCCGCAAAGTATAAAAAAAAAAAAAACAACAACAACAAATCCATGGCATATAAAACAAAGAAATGCGGATCACTGAAACACACAATGGGAGCGTGTTTTCAGGAAATAGGTTGGATGATTAAAGCAGCAGATTGGAGTTAGTTTTAATTCGCTGTGAGAACAGGTTGCCTTTCCATTCACACACAGTTTCATTGTTTATTTTTTCCTGACTCTGTAGAACTTATAGGTCATGTGAGCACATGTCATGATGCCAAGGAATCAGACACATATTCATGTGTTTTATAAAATATCTCAAATAGACCTACTTCGTGCATTTTTTTTTTCTTCTTAAGCATCTTTATCGTTTCATGTTAGGGTAGGACATGAAACAATTAAAATAATTAAACATGTTTAAGGAGATACAAAATGCATGATTTTTTTCCAGCAATAATACTTATCTATTAATCATTTTCCAAGGCCTGCATGAGTTCATTAGTTAAGACATCCAAGATGAAACATTTAAAAAGAAATAAATTTGTTGACAAAAAAGTTTTGACTTACTGGGATATCCCACGGCTGCGGTGTGGAGCAGATCCATGCCAGGGCCGGACAGCGTTAACCCGTTCACGGCGTAATGGGGCTGCTTAATGTAGGACATCATGCCTCCTGCCGGCTTTAAAACACTCCCTCACTTCCTCACTCTCTCTCTCCTTCTCTCAGGCCGGGGGCCGGCTCACTGAACTATTCTCCAGGGGGTGTATCTCTCTCTTTCTCTCCCTCTCTCTCTCCTGTTTTCTTCCTCTGATTTTTTTATTTTGTTTTTTAACTATTTTCTATCCCTGTCTTTGTTTGCGTCTCTAACTTTGTGCAGCAATGCGGATATAAAAGTGCACCTGCCTCTCAACCTGACGCGTAAAAGCGCAGCGGACGGTATATCGATTAAAAAGAAAAAATAACAGGAAAAAAATCCTGTTCAAATCAACCAAAGACTGGTTGACTAAAACAGATCCGAGGATAAATCTATCTCCGAAATCGCGGTGCGCACCAGGAAAGGAGCGCTCTCCGAGGTGCTGATCGGGGGCCCCGACACGGTTCCTGGTACCTGAACAGGAGGAGGAAGATGCGCTGCAGGGTGGACAAGTGAGGAGAGCGAGAAGAGACTGGCTAATTAGAAGAAACTTCTTAACCAAGTAGACGCGCAGAGCCCTCCCCCTTTCCTCCCCTCCTCCCTCTTTTCTATCTCCAATTCTTTCTCTCTCTCTCTTACGCAAACGCACTCCACCACGTAGCTATTTCCAAATGTTTCTTTATTCCCTATTGTAATTTTTTTTTTATCACTATTTATTAAATAAATTATTATACATCATTTCTCTTGTAAGCTGCCACGATTTAAGTTCTTTTTTTTTAACTTTAAAATGAAAAGAAAGCAACAACCGGACATTTATGTGTTCTTATGTTGAACTACTGAAAACGAATGGAAAATAAAGAAAAATAAAAATAATTTGGAAAAAAGGGGGCTTGAAGGAAACCACGGGTTACTTTGTTAACGGTTATTTTTAAATTAGCCTCCTAATAATTGGGCGAACTTTGCAGCGTTAGAACAGAGAGTTAGAGAAGTGGGTACAGGCCGGATTAAAAGCAGCACAAAGACCCCGTTGTTCTGCGCTTAAATCCCCTTCTGATCCCCTACATGCTCATTTTGGTCCCTTCATTCATACATTCACCCGACGAATTAATAATAATAATAATATTATCATTGTTTCCTATTGTTTGCCAGTCAATGGCATAAGTAAATTTGGGTTTATAATGAATATATGAACATAGATGATATAAAGGAGATTTGATTGTTAATGATTGTGCAGGAGATCACACAAAAAAAACTCTGTTTAGGATGCCACAGGCTTAGACTGCCACTGTAAGTTTTTGCACTATTAATAATAAGATTTATTTAGATATCTTAAGCAGTTTAATCTTAAAAAGTTACTTGTTCTAGTGCGCAATGACTCTGCAGCCAGGTGGTGAAACCATTAAAGATATTATAATAAAAAAAAAAAAAAGGAAATCCGCTTTTTTTGCGGAATAAAAGGGTTATGAAACTGTCAGAAATGTATAAATCTGGGATGAAATACTTTTTCAAAAGCAAGTGGGCGACTTTATTCAATGACTTTGAGATTTGGAGTAAGTGAATGACGGTGGGACCAGCTGAATTTTGGATGCAGGTCTGTTTAAACATGGCTGCTACTCAAAACCTGAACTTTATTGATCCTTTGCTATAGGTGGGGGTTTTGATTTGTTTGCGTTTGAAAAATATAATATTATATTTTGCAGAAGGCCCTGCGGCTGCGGCGTTCTACATGTTTTAAGAGTCTTTGAACTAAATTCTGGAAAAGGAGCCAGTTTTCCTCAAAACAAATTTTTTTAAAATGTTTGCTGTTATTTATCAACCAGATTTCGTTCATCTTAATTTTTCGTAAAAACAGCATTTTTCTTTTTTTACTCATAGCCGGTATGATGCTTTCAGGAAAAAGGTTGGAAAGTAATATACTCACACATTCTAGTCTTGAAATATATATTTTTTTCTTATTTTAATGATTTTTGGTTGTTCTTTTTAACCCCTTGAACCCTACGGACCCACCGGCGGGTCCAGCTGCTACATGACCTCGTAATTTTACCAAACCCCCAGTATTGATGTAAAAAACATATTTGGCACAGTTTGGTGACATTTATGGATAAATGTGCCAAAATGGCCTCTCCGCCTAAGAAATTTCTCACTAATACCATTCTAAAATAAATATGATTCATCTGATTGAGTCCACATTTTGTATATTTTTACACAACATTTAGATTTGAAAGTCTGTACTACTTTTTTGTGCTATAAATAATATTTTGGTAGTGTTTTGCAATGTTTATTTCAAAGAAAATTTTGGCGAGGTTCAAAAAATGCAAAATATTTTGTATTTTGTCCCTAATATTTCAGGCAGGGTCAAAGCTACAATGGTGCTGACACCAGAAAACCATTCTATGACATCTTACCTTTACAGACGTACCAAAAGTTTCTTCTTAAATCTAATAGCTTTGAGGCTATAATTTATTTACTTTTGTGTGTTTTTGTCAGGCAGAAATTTATTTATACCCCCTTAGGGTGTAAGAGGTTAAGAGGTTTAATTATTAAAACGTATTTGGGAACTTTTTTTCATTCTTATAAGTATAATTGTTTATAAAATAAAGTTCGACAATAAATTAAGGAATAAATCACAATCGAATGAATCGAAGGCAGTTTTTAGATTTTTTTTTCGTATTATCCTTTTTGCCAAACAGTATTTTTCCCCTCAGAGTGTTTCCTATGTGCATCCCTCCTTTCTGAAGGCAGTGGTTTTACTTGTATCATCCTCTGCAGCGGGACAATTTTCCGAGTGTCCAAATCCGATCCTGCGTGCTTGTTAATTGAATCGGATTTCTTATAGTTTAAAATCCACACACACGCTCACACACACATAGGGCCATGAAGCTAGTGCCCAAACTGTATAAGGGGTTTATCTAGCTTCGTAAAGCCAAAGCGGAGATATAAAGACACAGTCAGAGCTGCGAGGAGACTCTACCAGCATGTTTGAACGTCTCCAAACCTCGAAGAAAATGTGTTCAGATGAGACTGAAGGGCGCGTGGGTGTTTGTGGGTGTGTAGGTGGGTAAATCTGTAGGAGTGCGTCCTGCTGGCGCGTGGGAACCTCCACGGGAAGCCTTACTTTCTTTCACAGGTAGGATTTGCTTTGCTTCCTTTTTTTTTTTCTTTAGCTGCTTTGACAGCTGCTTGAGTTGAGTTTGTTGCTGAAAAAATTATGTCTGAAATACTATAAATAATTACAGAAAAACAAGCGGCGGAGGGAGAGACCTCTGTATCGAGCGCGCGGACTGCTGAAGTGCATGCGCGCTCTTGTGGTCCCGCGCGCAATGCCCTTTCAGCCTTCTGTGACGTAGTTACTGTATAACACTGATATATGGAGGCTGTCTGTCTGAAATAACACTGCTCAGAGGCCTCTGGATGTTAATAGAATAGAACAGAATAGAATAGAATAGAATCATATAATTGAATATAATGGAATATAATAGAATAGAAAATACATTTATTGTTATAGCAAAAATGGTCACACAAATGTGGACGTTAGAAAAGTGTTTAAAAATAAGAGGATACAGATATATCCAGATGCACAGGATATGAATACTGTGCAGCGGACAATAAATAATGAAGCTCTAGACATTTTTACAGTAATGGATGTGGAGGGAAAAAAAGCAGCTAAACCAGAGATGTGCAAAAATGAGAGTAGCATGTTATTTACCTGACTAAGATAGAAACTGTGCAAAAAATCAGCATGAATGTGACAACTTATTGAGGTTGTTTTGTTGGTTATGAAGTCTTACAGCTGCAGGGAGGAAGGATCTGTGATAACACTCCCTGGTGCATTTAGGGTGCAGCAGTCTGTCACTGAAGGAGCTCTCCAGTTAAGCAATAGCTTCATGCATAGGGTGGAAGACATGATCTAACAGAGAAGTTATTTTAGTTAGGATGCTTTTGTTAGTTAGTTATAAAACCAAACAAAATTTTAAAATTCCTAATCACTATCATCACTATGTTTTTATTATTAAATAATTATCAGGAAAATTACTATAAATCTTATGAGTGATGCTGGTTGATCAGCCTCAGTTAGCCCAAGGCATAAGCCTGAACATGGATCCCCTCACAAAGCTTCTAAACTTGCTCTGATGGTTCAATAATGAATTTTAAAGAAATTTTCAACCTTGAAATGTAATTTAACCAGAAACATGTTCAGCTTTAAATTGAATGACAAATGTAATAGTTATAAAGAGTTCCAGTCATGTCAGTAAATGCTGGTGCAGCTTATGTGTATGCTGGAGTCACTTTGCTCATCAACATCTGGCAAGAATTCAATTAATACCTCCCACTTTACTGCTGTAGTATAACAAGTAATAAAAAATGGCCCAATTCATCCTCCATAATTGTATTTTTTTTTCTCAAAATATGCAACAACAACAAAAAATGTCACCTGGCAGCCTTTAATCAATAAACAATTTGCAAGCAGGGATCCTGGCTGCTCCTGGAAACAGCCTCCTCATTCTGATACAGCACTAAAACAACCCTACTGAATTATTTAACTCTGACCTCCGTCTGTGAGACTATTTTACTATATTTGAAATTAAAAACAATGTAACGCAATTGTTTTTATGAAAAAAGTTTTTATTCTACTATAGTTCTTGCAGACTGTAATGTTTTGTAGTAACTGATGTTTCTGCTTGGTTTTTTGCATGTCCTCCCTGTTCCTGCCTCAACCCCAAAACATGCTAGTTAGATTAAATGTTCTCTTTATATTGCTACAAGTTTTGATCGCATCCATTTTTTTTTTGTTCAGGTCTATTAAATAGGTGCATTGGATAATTTGAAGCATTAACAATTAGCTACATCTAATTCCTGACTTTAAAGTCTCCACATTAATTTACAGTTGCACCACTTGCACATATTACCCAAATAAGTTTTGGTTCATAAGCTAAACATTCTAAAACATGTCACTATGAATATATAAAGTTTAAAGGATCAGAAAGGAACAATCTTATTATTCCCACAAAGAGAACTTGAGATTCTTATGGTTTAATAAATTTCCCACCTTACAAATTCTGCTCTGGGCCCATGTAATTTTGGGCTGGCTCTGATTCGATCCTTTTTTAGAGTTTAGCCTATATTTTAGTCACTGAAAAGTAGAGTTGTTTCACTTAATTTTTCAGTAAAGTAAAAAATAAAAGAAGATGATCATTGTATTAATTATTTTGTTATTTTCATTTACATCACATGACTTTTGAATTCAATTAAGCCAAACTCATGTCTGCTTTAATAACAGAAAAAGAAAACAGATTTTCTTCATTTTAGAGAAAGATATCTCCAAGCTCAGATTAAAATACCTTTTATGTTTACAAATACATTTTTTTGTTGAAATGTTATTGAGTTTCTGAGCATAACAGGCTGATTTAAAGTGATAAAAATCAATCATGTAGGTCAGTATAAAGTCAGTTCTGATATTTCTTTTCCTTTTTTAATTTACTTTGCAAACTTTAATCTTTGCTTTCAGTTTTGTTCCGTTTGGCAAAAGACCAGCACTAA